TAGCAAGCACAAGTCAGAAAAAGGATTATTTCTCCTTAGTCATCTTTTAGCATCAAAGAGGCACCGGCAAGCGGGATAAGAATAGAAAAAATTGATGCTATTTATAACTTGTTTCAAAGAATGCCTACCGGCCGAAACAATAGTACTGCATCAGCAACGCTCACACACAGCTTAAAAAAAGCTAGTAAATAATAGGCATACCGCCACTTCTGCACCTCTGCACCTCTGCACCTCTGCGCATGCACACACACACACACACACACACACACACACACACACACACACACACACACACACACACACACACACACACACACACACACACACACACACACACACACACACACACCTCCTTGACCGAGGAAAAGGCAGATGCAGTGAAAAGCAATACGAGCCCCATGTGCTTCTTTAAAAAGACTCTGATATATTGATAAGGTGACTTCTACAAGAATAGAAACAGAGCAATCAGCAGGATATATTTCAAGTTCAACTCATTCCAAGCTATTCCAGAGCCATGCAATTATTTCTTGCTTAAGTACGGCAAGTTAATGTCGGTGATTGCAGAACTTTGGCTCAGTCGCTTCTTTTAAATATTTCATGGAAGTGAGCCATGGCTACCTCACCCTCCAAACACACACACACACATATATATGGAGTCCGGACACACATACACACACTCGGAGCGCATCGATGACAGCTGACTGATGTCGGCCTCATGAAGAACAGTGATCTCCCTTAATTATACATGATGTGTCACAGAGAAGGAGGAGGGAGGTAGGAGAGAGATAGAGGAGGGTGGGAGGGAGGAGATATAGATGAGAGTTGTAAAAATAGAAAAAGGTGAGAAAAGACGGTCAAAAGAGTAAATACAAAGCGGAGAGTGGAGCAGGGAATAAGTGGGGTGAAATACCGGGTGTAGAGGAAGGGAGGGATGAGAGGAGAAAGAGGAGAAGGAGAGTGAATGATGAAGAGGAGAGGGGCTGAAGGCAGAGGAGGTCACTGTGTATTGATCTAAACGTGTCTCCCCTGCAGCAGGTCTGACTTAACATTACCACTGAACATGAGAGCAGCAGGCTGGACACATTCAACCTGCTGGGCTGTAAACACACACACACACACACACACACACACACACACACACACACACACACACACACACACACACACACACACACACACACACACACACACACACACACACACACACACCCTCTCCTACCTGCTTTAAATTCTGCTGTCTTAGAGTTGCAGTAAACAACTTAAAAATAATTATCTTCCGCACTTGGCTGTCACAGAGTCCCAAGACCCAGAACTGGAAATATTTTTAGAACAGTGTATGCATACACATCAGCTACAATAATTCATTGTCTACTGCCTTTAAAATAATCACACTTATTGTGTTTTTTCCAGATCTTTCAAAGTCTTAATTTCATCAGTATAATCCATGTGATACCAAGCATTGTGCCCTATGCCACGCTGATGCAAAATCAAGGTCTGACTCCTTGAAGGAAAGTTCAAAGAAGTTCGGGCAACAAAGATAAGGTAAATACAACTACTTGTAATGCATTAGTTCAAAGCACAATTTAAAAACCCTTTTATCCCATTATTTTGTATGATGGCTCTAGCGCTGTCTTTGGCATCTCGTCCTGACCTACATATTCAGCACAATGCAGAGAAGCAGAAAAGACAAAATAAGAGATAACGCAGACAGAAAATGAGCAGGTAAAGAGATGGAAGTCAGTGTAGAGTGGAAAGAAGAGAAGTGCTGTTGTTGAGCAGCAGAAGTGTAGCATGAGGAGCACAGGATGTCATGAAATATGTAGGAAGGAGCCGCTCAGCGCCGGAACACAAAGCCATTAAAGAAAGCCTGGAAAATGCAGTCAGCTAGAAATATAAATGTTCATTTCCTTATCGCGCAGTGACATACAGACACACAAAGCTAAAAGCACATACACACTTGCACAATCTTGGACTCTTGCATCTCTTAGTGAAAAGCCACACTCTAATGTTCTCAGAAACGGACACAGAGTTTAACACACTTTAGTGCTCTTAAAGACACGAGCGTGCAGGTTTACATGCATGAGAACGTCACAACACAAAGAAACACAAGCTCCCTACGCCTGCTTCCCTCTCAGTGCACTTTATGGTGTTCTGTAAATCATTGATTGGGAACATGTAGGAGATCAGTGAGACAGTTAGCTTGACATGCAGCGAGTGTTTTCTGTGTTTTAGGTCCGAACTTCAGTTTTATCGTGGTTGTTTGTGCATCAGTTCTTTGTTAGTTTAGGTTAATCTATAAGTCTTCATGTTTGGTCAGAAAGACTGATTGACAGTCATTGCTACTTGATACCAGCAAGGTAGGAAAATTATCTGAAATCAAGCCACATTTTGATTCAAAAATCTGATTCTTCCGACAGTTCAGAGCTCCAGTACTTGGAAGGTAACAACCAAAATGTTACCTTAAACTGATAAAGGAGGAAAGAAAACACCACACCTCTATAGCTCAAATTCTGATCCTGCTGACTGTAAACTTTTAACAGATGGCAAATCATGACATTGTAAAGTAAATAGACACACCTTCATTCTTCTGCTCAATATGTATCTTCATTAATTTTCTAATAACATGTACAGTAAGTGTACATGCAAACATTTCACAAAGGCCTCATTTAACCCTTGTGTTGTGTTCGAAAGCTGTTACCGTTCACCCATGATTTATTTCAGTCCAAAACACCCACAAAAATTACTATCATCCAATATTGTTTTAACTACATCATAACTAACTTATTATGCATTCATAGCCGTAAAATCCTGTTGTAATTGTATTTTATGGCCCCAAAGCACATATACATACACCATGCATGTGTGTGTTCAGGTTCAAGTGTAGTGTGCATATTCTTTGAGAAAGTTTGAGTTCCCATGGGGGAGGGGGGCCAGAGGGATGGGAGACCAGGTGCATGTTGCGAAAAATTATTGTTACAGTGGATAAAGGGGGTGGGGCTGGGGTGTCTAAAGTCAAAGATTAATCTTGATTGGGCCAAATTTGACCCGAGTCACGAACAACAATTCTGCTGGGTGTTCCCAGACCCGAACACCAAATTATACACTTTTTTTTTAGAGACCTTCAGACTTGGCTAAAATGTTCAAAAGCAGTTTTGTAGTGTTTATATAGCTGTTGTGGAGGATATCATGAAGCCTTGTTCCGATAAAAATAACTAGAGCGTAGTTATTATATATATAATTTTAACTTGAAACGAGTCACGGGAGACCCGAACACAACATTGGGTTAATGGGTCGATAACTGAGACGGATTATGAACAGAATATTTTTTTGGGTCTTGAGATTACTCTGTATTAAATGGACTGTGCAACCTCTCATTTCAAAATAAATTATAGATTCTAAATTGTTTATAAATCCTTGGCTTTAGTTTGACAATGCAGCTTCTCATCAGCTGAGTGCTATACAGGTGACAGGGCCATTGATGATGGCTGGGTGGATTAACATGAGCTATAGGCAGACAATAGACATAAAAAAAGATCAGTAAGCACAACTGTCTCTGCTCACACTTTCTATGTGCGTGCTGAGGATTCAATCAATAACAACAGCCCTGTCTGCCCTCATCTTCAATATCATCACCACACCACACCCAACAGCTCCATCATTTCCTCTGCTATGAATTAAACTTAGTCTTAACTTCACTCAATGCGGCTAACGTGTTGCTTGGGCCCAACACATCACTATAGGGTAGGGATTTTTTCCTCTTTGCTCCATATCTCATATGTGCAGTAGGCTATGGAGCATAAAGCATGCATCCTTTTCAGTGCATGACAGCAGCATGGGAAGTAGAACAATACGTTCAAATGGTAATGGCAGTGTACAAATGCAATACAATAAGAGGGATAATGAACATTATAGGGTTGTTAAATCGATAGTACTTTAATTCACCCGTATATGTTATCTGCTGCGTCCACGTGATATTTGCAATAACCACAGAGGACAATACATGAGCGTTTGGTCTACCTGGATGCTGCAGGAGATCTCGGAGTCGTCCAGGAGCCGGATCGTGCAGAGGACCTCCTGGTCCAAGGAGCGGATGCTTGGGCTGCGAAACCGGAGCATTTTCATCCTTCTGTCGGGTCTGTTTCAGCTCCTCATGTCAGCGGTTCCACAGGCAGAACAGATACGCACACGCGGGGTAGGGGGTACTCGTGCATGCACAGCCATACATGCATGCGCCTTGCAGTCGGGTCTTGTCCCCCCTTGTGACGCCCTTGGGAATGAACGAGATGGTAGAGATGGTTGGATGGGTTAGAGAATGGATGTTACAGAGCGGGAGAGAGGAGGGCTTGCATCCTGTCTGCACACTGCTGGATCTACAGGAGGGAGGATAGCTTTCTCCCTTCCTTCTCCTCGCTCTCTTCCTCCCCTTCTCTCTCTCTGGCTTGCGCACCCTCACTTTTTCTCTCTTTCTAATTTTCATCAAAAAACAACACAGTCACGACCCACGTGTATCATAAGTAACTGCCAAGTGCCTGGTAAAAGTATATCACTCGCCCTGTGCAGTTTTGTATTCACTTGGACTTGATGTAATAGTTCACCCAAGTTTTAAGGATGATTTAAACAAGCATGGGGTTATTTTACATAAGGGCCTAACGGTAAAATATGTATGCCGTAATAAAGAAAATCCTACCTGTGAATAACAATTTGTATAATTGCACTGCCCTTAACGGGTGCCTCATCATACAGTGGTGTAGACTTAATGCCTAAATTACCTGTGATATTTTGAGAAATACATATTATCCCATTAAATTATATAATAAGGTGATTTAACCTGTGACCAAAATCACAAACAGCCGCGGTCAAAACTCATTTTATCTGTGAAATTGCATGTTATATTCATCTAATAATAATGTCAAAGACATTTTAGCTGCTACGTAATCTGCCGCTTTAAGTGCAAACGTTGCCAGCGTGCGTGCTACGTCATCACGTACTTCAGCAAAACAAGCCTGCTTCCGTAGTGGAGGTTTGGAGGATATTTGATCACCTCTTTTACACAATAATACTGATTAAGCAGACACACCACAAGGAACCTGTGAGATTTTTTGCTTCAAATGTTTGCTTTTAAGTGAGTTTCCTTCGCTAAACCACAGTATAAGCTATTGTTGTTTTAAGAAGTTTACTTATCAGAGTCAGTGAAATATGCTTAGTGGTGGACTACACCTTTGCATGGGTCCTAACGGTCCTAACATCTACGGAAGCCACGACACTTGTTTATTACAGTAGGTTAAATCACGTGAGCACATATCTTATAGACACATGGTTCAATGGTTCAAACATTTACATAGTGGAAGATGTGCAGACCATGCAGAGCTGCAAAGTCTTCGGCAGCAGTTCTTAATGGATTTTTCTGCCTTTAGGTGTCTTAAGGTCTACAGACAGGATGATCTACATCATAATGGGAGTCTCAGGCTGCGGGAAGTATGTATACTGTCTGTTTCTTTTTTTAGGAGAGCATCTCACATAAGAGGCACATTAAATACAGTTAACTAACATATTACATGTATTGAGTCAAATGTGGGTTAAATATGTTTAAATTCTTTAGAATAGGCTACTATATACAGCATATCAGATTCCACTTAGTGATAACTAGTTGGTGGTGTATCAACTATTAATGTCCCGTTACATGATTAACTACAGTACACAGGCATCTGTTTCAAAGATGCTGAAGAAAATAGTAAGCTGACTCCATCACAGTAATGTAAGGGGTGCAATCTAACACCAAAATACAATAGTGGAGCTAGTACTCCAAGTACTAATTATTTAATTGTCCAATTTCTTTCGTCATTGATTAATTAATTATTTTGTCTGCATTGTATCAACTATTTATTTTATGTCGCCTTTTTTTTTTTACAGAAGTGCCTTAGGGGCCTTCCTATCGGAGAAGGTAATTAGATCCATCTGTTATCCTACACACACACCTTTGTGTTTCTGCAAACACTGACATAATAACAGTGCATTCATGTGTGTGTATCCACCAATCAGCTGGGCTGGCCTCTGCATGAAGGGGATAGCTTCCATCCACAGGGGAACATTGAGAAGATGGCTCGAAGTGAACCACTTACAGACCAGGTAGGTGTGTGTGTGTGTGTGTGTGTGTGTGTGTGTGTGTGTGTGTGTGTGTGTGTGTGTGTGTGTGTGTGTGTGTGTGTAACCCTTGTCCAATATCTACCCCTTTTTTTCCTGTTTATGGTGACTTTCAAAATAAAGGTAGACCTCTAAACAATTACAATTGCCTGGCTACCTGCCAAAGTTGAGTTTACAAGCTAACAGGCATCACAAGCCCTGCAAATATTTGACAGCAGTTTGCTGGTAGCAGTGTGTTTGGTGGCTCATGATAACCTCCCACTCAGACATTTGCTTTGAACTCTGGGAAGGATTGCCCCTGGATCTGTTCTGTCCAGTTCTTTGGCATGTTTTTAAAAAGTACTCAAAATTTGGCAGTTTGAGAATAAATACAAATTTGAGATTACTGCCTGGCTGTAGCTAAAATGTGTCTTTCATGCCAGGATAAGAGTTGGCTGGTTGAGGTTCGGCCTAACCAAACAGGACATTTCCTGTCATCCGAGTTCAGCTCTTCATATTAAAGGCACGGCAGTGTATGATATAAAAATGTGACTGTGGATCATTTGTTATCAAATTAGCACTGATTCTATTTCTGATTTCTGTTTGATCAAAGATGTGTTTGTGTTGCCATGTCTGTATGCCCCATTAGTTATTTTATTTGGTAAGACTCAAGTCTATTAAACAGAAAATATTGGCAGTGAGTTCTGACTTTGAATAATAAGATCCTATATAAACATCACTGACTGCAACTGTGATCACACTTCGATTGAAAAATAAATGTTTTTCATATGCGAGTTTTGTCTTTCTATAGGAGCCAAGTCTGTACTTAGTTCAAAACTATTTGGTGAATTTATGAACCCATCTTCACTATGATGATGACAGGCTTTACCATTACATACTCTGGTCACACAGTGTCTGTGTTGCTTCTTGATACATGGCTTGCCTATCTAAAGGACAATGAATTACCTGCTCAGTAGCGTTAAAGGGCGAAGCCTGTATCATGTTCATGCTGGTGACCACAACAAAATCCATGATTTAAAAACAAAAAGGCAGTGTTTTGTTTTTCTCTCTAAACACCTGGGAATCCCTGAATTAAAGTAATTAATACGATATATTTATTGCCTTTCTATAAGCAGATTTACAATGTAAATGTATCAAATGGCAATATTCACGAGAATAATCCCAGGTCCGAAGCCCCCCTCAACTTTATTGGGCTTTTATTTAACCCTCAGCATTGTTTTTCGCTCACAGAACTTTTTTTAGCAAAAGAAAAAGCTACATGAACCAACTGCTACACTACCTTCTCAGCACACAGAAAAACAATTCTCATTAACATGTTGATGCATTGAGCAACAAAAGAGTCAGATATTTCTATGTGTGAATACTGGACTTACATTTGTATGGTGGCCAAAAACATGAATCCAAATGCATGTTGTTCCGCAACGGCTTGATGGGTAAAAAAACAACAGAAAAAAAAAATATTGATCAAAAAGATTAAAAACATTGCTGAAAAAAGATTTGTCCCTTCAGGATAGATTACCCTGGCTACTCAAACTACATGAAGTCATTGAGAGGTAAGAACAAACACACCTTCCATACTCACAGACCATTTGCACATGGACACTTTTTTCACTGAAAACACAACATACTTTGTTATGACATAAATGGGTTTGAAGAGTGAGAGTGTTCTAAAGAGAAGAGTAGCGAGGTAAGGATATGCAGGCTCGAAATATTGGAAAAAAAGATCAAAACTATCAAAGATGGTTTTGAAAATCAGAGTGAAGACCAGAACATGGGGAGTCAGTTTGGAAGAGTTAAAAACAGATTAAGTGAGTGTGAGGCGAGAGAAGAGGTGGGGAGAACTGGAAAGTATGTCATCTCTTTCTTAAGACCTCTGCGGCAACATCAAAGGCTTCCCTACTCTTCCACACATTTATCAGCTTATCCTTGTGTCGCCACTTTTCTCTCTTCACCTCCATTTTCCCGTTAGTTGTTTTTGACCAAGGTTCACTTTTAGATCATTTTCCACATTGACCAAACATCATTACAGTGTACAAGTCAGCAGTTGTTTCTAATTCCTTCCTTCACAATATGCATTTGTGTCTCAGAGAGAGGAGCTCCGGCTCTGATGCCCTGGTGGCGTGCTCCGCCCTGAAGCGTCTGTACAGACAGATCCTGCTCCACGGCTCCAAAGCCTTCCCTTCCTCCGGTCCAGACCAAGATGGCCTGCCTGCCTCCTCTCCTGATGTCTGTTTTCTCTTTCTTTATGGAGACTACGATCTCATTCAGCAGAGAATGGTGGTCCGGAGGGGACATTACATGAAAGCAGATCTGCTGCGTTCACAGTTTGATGTTTTAGAGCCTCCGCTGGATAAAGAGAACGTGTTGCCACTGGACATCAGGAGGAGCATCACAGACATGGCCATGGAGGTGGAGAAGCACATAGTCAGCCTCAAGTTGTCACCAAGGCCTTAAACACAGACCATATCTAGGTCATACCGAGTGAAGTGGGGGGCGAGTTTTGGTTTTCATCTACTCATTACTGCTTCAGTACAGAATGTTCCTGTGATGCTAAAAACGTTTTAAAACACAGCCACAGTGCCATTCCAGTATATTCCTGCTATATTTTGATATTAAAGGGTTTGAATCGGACCATTTTTTGGGGTGAAAAATTACCTTCCAATAGTGTGCCAAAAAAGAAAAAGGCTAGTCGTGGATATTAACTACAGTATTTTGAACTCAAGAGCAGAACTGTGAAAGTATTGTAAATATTTGCACTGTAACGACACACTGCTTCAGCAATTTTGTCGTGAAAAATGGAGAGACTACTTGACTTCAATAAAACATGTAACATGTTTTCTGGAGTTTGGAACTTGGCATTAGTTGCAAGTGATTGCAGATCATGTTTTTCTTTGATTTAATCTGTCACACCACCTTTCATGCACTGACATCGCCTGCAAAATGCACCAAATAATCTTAAAGTACAATCTTCACACCAAATTAAAGTAAAACAGTAAAAGGGATTCAGAGTTAAACATGAACTGCTACTCACTGTAAGGAGCTCCTCTGACCACAGGTTGAAACCGCACTAAAGGTCAGATCAGGTCAAGGCTTCACGATCCCGTTTCCTGATCCATAAAATCATCTTTAAGGACACTCATACACACACATGACCCCTCACACACTCCCCCCAACACACACCTCAACTCAGCACTTGGGCTGTTTTTGTGGAGTGACTCATCTGCAAACCTCAACTTGAATATTTTAGGAGCTTCTAATCCAGAAAACCCCTTTGGCTACTCTCATATCTCACACATGCAGACGAAAGGGTGCATATACACACAGCCACACACACACATACATCACAGGAGATTAAAACCCCCTCAGTCTGGCAGCAACAGACAAACACACATAGGTTGTCAAGTGGATCACATACACACATATCTGATGTCAGAGTACGTGTCGTGTATTAGTCCACCCCGTGTCAGAGTAAGGACACAAAAGCAGGGATGAAAACAGCAACACACATCCTATTATGCACTAAAAATCGTTTTTTCTTCATTTGTTATTAGTTTATATCAATATATTTGCAAAAAAATTGTTTGAGGTGAACATGGAGACACATATTTCAGTCTCATAATTTACACTTAATCTAAATACATTTGTTAGATATGACATATTTGTGCACAATTCCAGCTGGTCAAATGAAAACAGTTGATATTATTGAGGAGGTTAAGTGTAACTGCTCCCCTCTAGTGTTTGTAGTATAAAAGTACAACAGTAGATTTTAGATGTGCTGAGATTAGCATGGCTATGGGGTTTCATGGTGGGATTATCTCTCAAATTTAGCGAAGGTGGATTACATGTATACAATGATTTATTAGATAACTGCTCTTATCAATAAAAAGATGGGAAACCAGTTTGTGTTTTGAGTCGTGTTTTTATTCATCGCTACACCAAGGCAGGGTACAATGTGTTTTCAGTTAAATGTGCACATTTGGCTGCTTTTCTCCATTTCATACAACTGCAAATGGAATTATGGGAGTCTTCTTTAAGGCGGAAGTTCAGATCAATATTTCTCCCTGTTTTCATATTATAGACTTAATGACTAATACAATAATCTTAGAAGAAAAACAAATCCACATATTAATTCTTACTGAAAGTGAATGATCGAAACAAACAACTGGTAAATTAAATGAAGTGCTAATCCCTTTTAAAATCAATTATTTGAAAAAAAGGGTTAAATAAACCCATTGTAATGGGTACATTACTTTGAGAAGAACTGTAATGCTAGGACTGAATATAATGCAGACAGAGGTTAGTTATGGGAGTCAAGGAATGCATATAAGTGTGTCTTAAAAGTGTGGAAATACAAATGTGTCTTGCATGTTTTTGTAAAGCACTTTGTAATCGTTGATAGAGATATTTTGTTTTGAGTGTAGGTGCTTACAGTACATTATAGTGTGTGTGTGTGTGTGTGTGTGTGTGTGTGTGTGTGTGTGTGTCAGAGACTGAGGAGTTGTTGTATTGCAGTGCAGAGGTCTCCTCCGGTGCTGATGAGGATCTGCAGGTTTGCCTCTCTGTCTTCGAAGCCCATTGAGCTCAGATGCTCCAGCTCGTCCTGGAACTCAGCTTCCTCAACGTGGACCTGAGAGGACACGGCATTTTTAACAAAGTTTAAAAAATAAGTAATACAAACAGCAGCTCCTGGCCTCAGGCTTGAACAACAACAATGCAACCTCTTTATGAATTGTTAGAACAAGGACTGTACAAAAAATTCTAGCTCATTTTCCAAAAAAAAAAAGTTATTGCGCTTTTAAAGTGTTTTTTGCCAGTATCTGTGTACTTTATAAAGCTTGATTGATTAAGCTCTACAAACCATGTTCCAACAGCTTATGGTAAAAAAAAAAGACAAACAAATGCATCAACAAGGGGGGACTGTTACATAAAACTTTGCTCAAACTGCTTTTTCCAATAATAGTGAAGAATTACAGAAGAATGCATTCCCTTAAAATAAAAACTGTTAGCTTTTTATTAACTATTCAAACAGATTACATATTTTGGTTTGCTTGTTAAATCAATCCGAGCAATCGATGATAAATCCAAATTGTTTATTCTATAGGCAAAATATGTGGCGCCACAAACTGAAAGTGTTATGGGAGCTTTGGTCTCTTTGGGTTGAAGTGTATTCATCTTTAACAACACTGGAAATGTTTTCCCAATTGACTTTCACAGCAAATTTGATCATAACAACCCAGCCTCCAGTTACTCTCTTGTCTTTAGTGTTTGCTTAAGTACTTTTGTTAACGATAAAGTTGTAAGGACAGATACCCCATTATCGGTGTTAGCCAGCGCCTGTAGCATCTGTTGCACAAACTGCTGCTGCTGCTGCTCTGTCACCGCGACAACCCGAGGACCACTTTCAGATTGGCTGTTGAGGACAGAGTCAGATGCTAGCTCAGGTGCAGCATCAACACCGGCTCTGCAAGACAGACATGTGGTGGTAAAACCTTTTTTACAATTCCTTGAATGTGCCATGCATAAAAGTAATTATTTTTTACGCAGTAACTTAATCATTTTGTGAATCATCTTGAGATTAAGTTGTACCGTGTGATTGTGTGTATTTAATATTTAAACTCACGTAGGTATCAGAGCAGGAACCTCTGTAGCCAGAGTCTGTAGGCCCTGCTGGATGTGGAGCAGAGCCTCCATGGCTCTGGGGTTTAACATGGCTGACAGCAGTTCTGGACTCTGCATCTACAAATTGAGCACTGATCATTAAAGCTGGAGTGCAGAACATTTGCCTCCCCCCTCTGGCAGAGAGAGTAATAAGCGCATGGGAGAGAGCAAAGGGAAGGAGCAGCAGCTGGCATTGTGGCAGAAGCTCCCTTTTTAGTAGGGATACTCCAGATAAAAAAATTAACTTGCAGTTCAGAGCACTGATGAATATAAAATATGTGGCACTGACCCAATAAAAATAAGTGTGTTTATTTTGTCCAATGTAATTATAATATCGTGTATGGACTTGGAGTCATACACGATATACACAGTGACATGATATGGAAACTATTAATAGCATTTACATTTGACCATTTCCATAAAAAGATAACACTGGATCCAGAGTGAATGTCAGACGGATATCAAAACTACAACAAACTTCCGGGTGTTCCATCAAGTCCATTAAAGACACAGACGGCTAGTGTGGCAGAAGAATACACAAGCCAATTATTACAAAACAAACATCTGTTCTGTGTTTATCTATTTAGGAAATAAAAACAGTTGATCACACACAATACATCTTTCTCAATGTTGAGCAATCCATGATAATTTTTGTTTTAAACTAGTTGCAAGACTTTAGTGTTTATAAGTGAGGAGAGTAACCTGTTGCAGGAAGAGAGGGATCTGCTGTCTCATCTGCTGCTGCAGCTGAGGATTTCCTGAGAACAAAGGGTGGCTCAGCAGCATCTGAAACAGAATGGAAATGAGAGCTTTAAAGAGGGTGTAGGATTTATGTGGAGAGATTATGGGGATATAACAAGAAATAGGGAGGGGACGATTCTATCTTTCCCCACATTCTGAATTGCAGACCATGTGATTTACTGTTTTGCAATTTATATGCTCATAAATAACAAAAAGGATTCTATGCAGTTGTCAAATAAAAATAGGCATCTTTTTTTAACTGCGTTCCCTGTTATATATGTTTATGTGTTTTCATCAGTGATGTAAAGTAAATAAGTAGATTTACTGTACTGATATAACATTTTGTGAGACTTTTACTTTACTTTACGTTTTGCTAATTTGCACTTTTACTCCACTACAATCCAGAGTTTAATCATGTACTTTCACTCCACTCCATAATTGTAGTACCTTTAGCTTCTTTGCTAATTAAGTGTTATGATGTGAAATATAAACAACACTTAAGTAAGATTTTAGTTACACCTGGAGTAAAGTTCACAAACTAACCTGCAGCATACCAAGTGATTAAAACTAGCTGCACCTTTACCAGCTTTAATAACACTTTAATGCATCAATAGTTATAATCAAAACATATCATTGATGGTATTCTGAAATGGGCCAATTTGCATAATGAGTACTTACAGTTTTGGTACTTTAAATTTATTTTGATGCTTATACTTTTGTACTTTTACTTGAGTAACATTTTGAATGCAGGACTTGTACTTGTCACAGAGTATTCCTACTCTCTGGTAGTTACAATCTGAGTACTTTTGTGACCTCTGGTTTTCATCCACCCATACATGGTGTAGCATCACCTGTGCAGCGAGGTCTGGGTTCTGGCTGAGGCAGTGGAGGAGGCTGCTGACATACGGCCCAGACAGCAGGCTCTCCATCAGCCCGGGACTGGCTGTGATCTCCTGTAGCAGAGACTGCATGCCTGAGGAGAGAGCAGGAGGACATATTTTAGGGCTCACCATTTTAAAATGTTTTGAATATTTTGACTGAAAAACCTATTATAAATATAATGTTGGCCAATCTGTACCAAACCAATATGTTTTCTTAACTCTGTAGAACAACATATGTAGGCTAAGAACTTTTGGCCTTGCGATTTGAAAATGCCATATTGCAAAAGTGCAAAGTATACATGAATAATTATAGTTATCACACCAAATAATACTGTGGTAATGTTGGCCTGTTTCTTGGTTTGTTTCGGAGGAAATGGCAGTGAGTAACAACAACAACTTTAAAATAACTTGAAATACAACAAGGGACAGAAAGCTGAGAAAATAAAAAAATTACATGTTTGCCAGATGATATTCTACTTTTTACATTAGTTTAGTTGAACTGTGATATATGTGTATGTCTGTGCCTGCAGTGAGGGGGCTCTGAGGGTTCGGATCAGCTCTCAGTTCTCCGAGAGGATCTGAACAGTCACTGGAGACGGGTGGAGTCTTGTTTCTTTCTCCTTCATTTGGCTGTTTTTCCCCAGATGATGTTGTCCCCACTCGGGATGCTGCTATCTGGATCTGAGAAGAGTGCATTTAGGTATACGTTTATTTGGACAATATAAATATATAACAACAATAACATAACAAATAATGTAAAGGGCAGAAAACACATTTGGTTTATTTGAAGCTTCCATTTAAATAAGGAGTTCCCTTAATGTGACATTTTAAATGGACGAGTGCACTGAAAAAGATATGACTAGTACATAATAGTCATTGAGTATAGAAGAGACATCACAAAAAGATTTGTTTTGTCATTATCTAAACAGATAGTTAAAAAGAAACATCATTTCCAAACCTTTACCTGTGATAATCTTTTTGTGTCAGTCTTCTGATTGCCACCAGAATCCCTATTGGTGTTTTCAGGGTTTTCCTGCTTTGGCTGCAAATTTCCTAATGCTTTGTCTTCATCATGCATCACATCCTCGATCATGTCAGGGTTCCTGATGAGCTCCAGAACCTGGAAAGCGATGCAAGAGATAGAACATCTTGACAATGTAGGTGGAAAAAATGAGTTGCAGTTCTAGGAAATAATACCCTTTTTCGCATGTTAACTAAATCAAATCACACAACTCACTCATAATCCTAAAGGATATTTAAAGAGACAGGTCACATTTATATTTTGAGTTATGTATTTACACCATGTAGCCTTTGATGTTTTAATACCCACCTGTGTGATAACATCTGCATTGTTAAGCATATCTCCAACCTCTGGGTTTGTCTGCACGAGCTGGTGAATTTGGGGATTTGACAGAATTAGCTGTCTGGTTAGTTGAGGGCTGGAGGTGGAGAGGGTGGTCTGAACGAAGGGGCTGCCCAGGACACGGTGCAGCATCTCCGGGTCAGCCAGCAGCTGGCTCTCCATCTGGCGCTGGAGTGAAGAAAAGAAGCCAGGCTCGCTGTTTGTTTGGCCAAAATTGTCAAGACCTTCCACTATGGAAACAAGACCAAATTTTAAAAATCAGGTGCATGTAAATTAACTGGACAGAGGAGCAGGACTGGACCCCCCTCCCAAAAGCAGCAATATAACCATTGATAAAGAGAACATTAAAAACAAAGCATAATAGGGTGGTTGTGCTGTTATTACCCAGACAAAGGGGCGAGGTGGGAGACGGCGTGATACTGTCAGGGTCCGGATGAAGAGCGGCTGTGAGCTCCGACTGGACACTTTCTGAAGTTGGATCACAGGTGTGTGCAGCAGACGAAAGCTGAGGCCTGAGAAAGAAGGACTGAATTTGAATCTACACTATTTGAGTCTCACACTGATACATTAGCTTTCCCAGTCTATAGAACAGAAGCTGATCTTTAAAGTATGGCATCCATTTTTTATTTTTTTTATTTTGTGTGGCTATGTCAGTTCACGCTTACAAGCGTGCCGGTCTTCTCTTAAGGAACTAGGACACTGACTTGTTTTTCACAAGGCACAATTCTATATTTAGATGTGCTTACTTTTCTACCATAAAGTGACACTGTATATGTACTGGCTTTCTGTATAGTATTTTTAATCAGGTTTACTAACACTGACAATCCTAGTGCACAAGAGTGACATGTCATTTGTTTTTAGGGATAAACCTGTAACACTAACCATCCACCTTGACAGGCTGCATGCCGAATTCCACACAAAGCTTATCATGGGCAAATACAGAATGTACAAGACAGACAATTTACATCCCAAGTGCGTTGGTCTGTGTCTGTTGAGCAAACATCATATCGGCCTGTGTGTTTGAATACCTTTGGATCATGCAGAGGCTCACACACCCATCTCGTGCCCTAAGATGACTCAGGAGTTCTGACTCCCTGAGCACGCGACCAAAGTGGATCAGCACCAGCTGCTCTGCCGGGACCCCCACACCCTCTGCCAGAGACCATTTCAGCTGCACACAAATACAAACACACCCCACAACAGACTATCAGCCGAAGCGCATGTCAAGCCATTTTACGCATGTGCGTTTGGCCTCCTGACCTGTGTGACGGTGCAGTCTCCTCTCACGGTGCACTCTCTGCTCTCCGCTGGACCTTTGACGCTGACGTGGATCGTTTCAGAGATCTGACGATCATCCTGTGCTCTCGATTGATCTCTCTCCGAACCTGACATTTCAGTCCTGACCGCGCTGAGAGGAGGAAGAGGAGCTGACCTGAGGAGGATGAGACGCGGACCTGATGAGGAAGAGGATCGCACAGTCCCGGGTCGGAGGAGCGTGTGTCCCGATGACTCAGCAGAAAGTTGTGCCAGCTTTGACCCGACTGCGCAGGGTGGTGAAGATTAAAATCTACCCAAAGATACAAATCCTACACCCTTTTTTAAATGTCAGTACATCTTATGTAGGTATTTACAAGGGCAGTCTGGTTAAATTATGTATGACTAATAGTTATGTAACCAGTGTCAACTTAAAGATATAGTACACCACAAATACAAATCCAGTATTAATCATTCTTAAAATGAAGATTATATTAATATTTAAATGTCCATTCCCCATTGAAGACGACATCTTTTCACAGCACCCAGTGGTTTTATCAGATTCCTCGTAAATTGTTGCACTATGGTACCACAAATACAAAATGACCATCTCCTCTGTGTTTCATTTTATAGTCTAAATGTTGGGACAATATACAACAAAGACACATTTTGTCACTGAAAAGTATTTTATTTACGTTACAGTGAGAAAGAAAAAAAGAAACATACAATTCACGTCATTTTGGTATTAAAACCCCAACAAAATCAGAACAGGCGCACAGCCTTGAACAACACTATTATGCTTGTGCCTGCAGAGGGCAGCACTGGGTGCCAAGCAACCATCTCAACACAAAGTTTGAAGTAAACCATTTTCAGGAGCTTCTGTTAATTCTTGATCAGATAATTAAAACACCCTGCTTCCTCTGGAGTGTAATTTTGTATGTGTATGTAATAGGGGGGCATGCATTATATGCTGACATTCAGTCCAAGCAAAAAAACATAAAAAACAAAGGAAATAAAAACGTGATAGTGATCAGTCGTGCTTTTTCTTCATTTGTTCATCGTTTTGTGTCATTTTGATGTTATGGTCTTTCCCATTTGGGACCTTTCATACATCCATCTCCGAGCCTTTCCTTCCTCTTTTGTTTCCCTGCAAACCAGAAAACCCCAGAAAGTACACCATTATTAATTATAAGTATGACAACATATTTTGATGACTCAGTTCATGTTATATGTCATTAAATTCCTTGCAAGTAAAAGAAAAATTCAAAGTCTCTGAACTGAAAATAAGCTTACTTGCAGACCTCACTGGATGTACTTTAGTACTAAACTATATAACTCTGTATTACTGCGCCTGGGCTTACTTTCACTGCAACTTCTCTCACTTCACCTGACTGACTGTCTGCTTTTTGTCTCTTCTGTTCTACAGAAAGGGAAAGAAGGGGCAGTCATGCAAACATACATTAGTATCAGCTTACAAGTGTCCTCGCTCTAAAACGTTACTACACACTTACCAGACAAATAGAATGAACTACAAACTCAAGGCTTATATGCCCCTTGGAGTGATTTCTATGATTCTCTTCACTGTTTTAATTTGTAGTTGTGTTCTTGTAAATGTTTAACGTTCTCAGAGGTCTTAATCTCAATGAGGACAAAGGGAAATAAAAGAGTGATTATTTAAACTCTTACCTGATGTTTTGGTTGATCTGACTGCAGACCTTTGACTTTAGACCTTTCTTGTTCAAGGGCAGCGTGTAGTGATGATACCTAAATAGAAAACATGTATCATTCAAATGCACATAAATCTGTGTTCTTGTCTCATAATCGTTATATGACCGTAACCTACCTGTGATGAGAGTTCTTCTTTTATGTGTAGTAACTCTTCTACCTGTAGAAGGAGTTCTGCTTTATCTTTCACTGAAGGAGGGAGAAATCAGAAAACATTAGAACGATGTTTTTGAATCTTTGTAAGGAAGGAAAAGCACAGAGGGATATTGGGCGTCATTTTGGTTCAACTTACTTTCTCCCTGTTGGAGCATCTTAAGCAGCTGGGAATTTCTTGCTTTCACCTCTTTATATTTCCCCTGTAGAGTTGAGAAGCAAGTTGAGAATACAAGTTTGAAAAGAATCTAAAGTTAATCATCATTGCGAGATAGATAGATAGATAGATAGATAGATAGATAGATAGATAGATGGATAGATAGATAGATAGATCAATGTTAAATGACAAAATAATGGCATAACTTATTTTGGAACTATGAAACGGACTGACCTCCCACTGTGTAATGTTCTTCTTTAGCTTCTCGATTTCCTCGTCTTTCTTCTCCAGATCGTACTTCAGCTGTTCTGCTCGGGGATCCTTACAGACAGGTAGAAGAGAGCAAGTCAGGAGGACACATTTCTAAAAAGGTCTAAGAAGAAGTCACAGCACACACATCAAATTCATCTTTAACTAAATCTAGTCCCAAAATAAGTCACTGCATTTTCTTAGAAAGTTTCCTGCTTACTAGATACAGGACTACGGATCAGAACAGGGGTGTCAGACACATGGTGAAAGTGTCGTTAAAATCAGCCCAGGATATTACACAAAGAAAACCCCCAGCAACTCAGAGGTGAAAATAAAAGTCACATTTGAATGTTAAACTCATCTTATATTCCTGATCTATTGTCTTTCTGGCCTGATATAGGAGATACATGCAAATACAAATGAGATACAACTTTAGGTGCCACAAATGTTCATGTGCTGTAGATACCTGAGGCAGAATATAAACAAAATGCTGAGCCTATAGTTATGAGTTTCTGCCTGTCTACTCACTGGTTCATGATCTGTGGAGGTGATGACTTCTTGTCCCTGGCTGGTGAACAGCTCGCGTCTCTTCTCCTGTTGGACAATTCGAGTGACGTCGTCCTCCACCTTGTTGAAGAAGCGCTCCTCCTGCCCGTTCCCTAACACTACGTTAGCCACACTGGCATCCTGAAAGGGAGCAAGGTTTGAGTTTCCAAAGGCATGTGATATACATCATGTTTGATATTCTACCCCAAATAAAACCCTGTGCATATTATTTACTGGTTACTTAAATATTGATTATACATTTATATACAATACATTCTGCCAATTAAACATACGCAAACATTTCAAATGTGGGCTATGAAAGGGAAAAGATGCTCAGGAACTCACCTCTTTCTCCTGCTTCTTATTCAAATGTTCTGCAAAGAGACAAAGGTCATTAACATTAATATTAAAACGGGAGCTACACAGGATCACAGTTTAAAGACTATTGAAACGGATTCATCTCTTTCTCTCACCTGCACTGCCGTCAGCCTGGAAGTCCTGCAGTGAAACCGTCTTTTTGTCTTTTGCCTGCTGATTCTTCTTTTTGTCCTTCTTCCCTCCGCCATCTTTACCTACTCGTGCCTTTGGCGAGGATGCGTTTGTGTTGTTGCTCTGTGTGAAAACAGATCATTCAACTTTAACTTAGAACTAAGGCTCCTAACCTCTGGTAACTATTCAAAACAATCTACCTTTAACATGACTTTGAAATAAAGCTGAATTCAACCTGTTTCATGCTATATGAAATGGAGAGTGACATACTCCAGCACACTGGATTTTAGGAATATGTAAACAATTATAAATAACCGTTTTTTGTTATTTATTAAAAGTAAGTCAAGAGTACAAATCAGCAGTTATGTTTGACAACAGTCCGCTCACTGTACCTTTTGAAAAATATATATAATGGCGCTTTTCCACTGTAGGACGTAGCACGGTTTAAACCAGGCCCGCTTTTTTTTGCTTTTCCACTAGGGGTAGTTCCGGCTCAGGGCTACTTTTTCACCTTTTTTCTGGCCCTCCAAAGTCGAGGTTCTTACCGGGCCAACAACTGGGCTGAATATGCTAAACTAGTGACGTAAACACTCTCGACTGCTGAATGGTCAGAGAGAATCGCTGGCAAGGGGGCTACAACTACAACAAAAAGAACATATTGTACTGTGATTTAATTGTAATACACATTTCAAAATGATGCCAAAGTAACAACATACCGATACCGACGTCTGCAGACAAGACGGCAGGCGAAAAAACCTTTTAAAATGCGTGTTTTCTGAATGGAGATCGGATCGATCAGGCTAAGCTAACGTTGTATATGCTCCGTCCACACTCACAAGTTGTTGTGAGTGTGGACGGAGCATATACAACGTTAGCTTAGCCTGATCGATCCGATCTCCATTCAGAAAACACGCATTTTAAAAGGTTTTTTCGCCTGCCGTCNTTGTTGCAGTAGAACATTCCACTGTAGCGACCAGTACATTAATGGGAAACCCTAAATGTTTGAGCACCCTCTATGAAACGTCAAGCTACCCCACAGCACCCCCAAAATACATCTCTGGCGCCGCCACTGAGCCTGACTATTTGTGTTTGGGGGGGCCCGACTTTTTTTTTTTCTCTAAAGGGGGGGCCTGACAGAAAAAGTTTGAGAACCACTGCATTAAATCATAATCTCTTGTTGAATAGATGTCCATTTACAAACATACAATGTGTTATCTTTGACAACTGAGGTGTTTAATTGTGTCAATGCTATGGCATGCATTACGTTATCGTTAGAATTTATTGTATGTAGAATTATTTTAATTTACATCTGTGTAAACCCTTTGAATAAATAGCCTTTTAAAAATACACAATGTATAAAACATCTTGATAGCATATATAAATCGTATGTGATCGGAGATAAATTTGGATAACTTAAGATAATTTGTGAGGTGAGAGTTCCACCTTCTGGCCAAAGACAGTGTGGCAATAATAAAGGACCACATTTTCTGTCATCTATTTCCTACACATACAAACATTAAATACAATCAAATTAAATAAATATAAAGTGTGTTTATAAGTGAGGTAGAAACCTGTAATGGCTTATACAAAGAAACACTCATAAGACTTGCAAATGCATAATAGTGATAAACACTGTCACATATTAAATAAGAGTAGAAGTATAGTTTAAACAAACAGATGTAATTGCTGAATGATTCTTTTTTTCCAAATGTAATGTTTTTGACACCAGGGCATTTTAATTTCTCTTTTTGTACACAGACGCAAATTATACTCCATGTATTGTTGCGATGATATTGTCTTTGCATAAGAACATTTTAAATAGCCAAATACACATAGTCGAAAGCTTTAGAATTGTTTGTTTCAGGGGAAGAGAATCTCTTTGTACAAGCGAGCCCAGATCCTGGTGGCAGATTTCTGGGGCGTCATGGAGGCCAGAGGAGAGGGGGGCATCATCAACATGGACTGGCTCACCATGTTTGCAGACTACAGGGTCCCTCAGGCTCTCGTCTTCCTTGGAGCACTACGATACACTGACACACTGATGCAGGCGCTGAACAAGGGTGAGACAGGAGTGCATGTGTTTCTCTGTCCATAAATAAATGAATCATTTAGGATTAGTCAAGTATTATATCTCTGTGTTATGTGTTTGTCTCCCATTTCCCTCAGGAGAGCTGCTGAGTTCAGGGGACAGAAGAGAGGTTGAAATCCGAGGTTGTTCAATTTGGTCTGTGGAGCTGATCAAAGAGCGTCTGTGTAAGCTGGTGAAGGAGAGAGACGGACAGACCTGCAACGTAAACTCGGCAGTCATCGACTTTTACCTGTGGCCTTATGCCAAGAAGCACCACAAAGAGATGGCTCACATTCCCATACACCACACACGCTGTATTTACTACTGACGAGCTGGTGGCAGCATTACATACAGAAGGCTGCACTCTGTGTGCAGCCTTGGCATCGTTACCTTTCCCTGGGAGAAAGCCAATCCTGTCTCCGTGCCAGATATATGTACAAATCGGCTTCGCTCCAGCTGTAATGGAAACAGGTGTCGAGCTTTAATGTAGCTCATTGGTGTGTGTGGGTAGTGGCACTGTTGTCCATTCACAGTCAATTAAAAAATGTTTACTGTTGTTGATGTCTGACAAACTGCTCGGTTATTACAGTAAGTGATAATATACTGTATGTGAACATACAATTATGGACACATTGTCCAATCTACAGCAGCTTGGATTTTTTACACTGGGAAAACATTGAAAATAAAACGTTTTAATTAGATTGTGTTTGTCACTTCACTGCAACAACAAAAATGGCCAACGGTACATACACAGTAGGCCTACCTCCATTTTCAATCATATATGTAGCCAATTTATATATATTCTCATATTCTACCTATGACCAACATCTTTTTTACATTATTAATAGTTTAATGGCTCATTAGTTTTGTCAATACTATTAACATGTCATTAATTTATTTTATCATACCTCTTCTCTTTTTTATACAATCTATATCAGTGATTCTCAAATGGGGGTACGTGGACCCCTAGGGGTACGTTGGGGTACTGCATGGGGTACGTAAGGTAAAAATAAATAAAAAGGTTAATTAAAAAAATACCATGCATGATTACAAAAATAATCTTAGTACAATAAGTTAAATAGAAAACACAATTTTATATAAAATATTCCTAGAACCACTAAGGGGGTCCTCATATAAACATGTTACATTTGTGTATTGTATTTATAGTTTTTAATAATTCATTTTCATTTTGTTCATTGGTTTGTTAAACATATCAATTCAATTGAAAAACTCCTTGGAACAATATTTTGTTTCATGCATAAAGATAAAAATATCCTTAGTTTGTTGTAATTTATGCATTAAGGAGTTAATAAATCAAACACTGATGGAACATCACTATATTGTAATTATTTATATAGCTTTTTCTGTCAAAAATGTCCGGGGTCGGTCAGGGGGTACTTGGCTGAGAAAATGTTTCAAAGGGGGTACATTACTGAAAAAAGTTTGAGAAGCACTGATCTATATTATAGAATCTAACATATATGGCACTGATCAAGTCAATTCACTGTAAAAATAATAAATAATGAAACGTTCTAATTATTTTTTTATTGCACAGTCGAAAGGTAAATGTCATATTCAAGAGAATAAAGAACCAAAGTAAATTATAGCAAAAAAAATACATGCCAATACATGTCGTTTGTGGCGCTGTTGCCTTCACGTATCCCTCGGTCCTCCTCCATGCAGGCTCTTGAACGCCTCTCCTGCTCTCCTCGACTGCTGCTGCACCGCGGCGGCGGTTTCCCGGGCAACCAAGGAGCAACAACAAACGGTAGATGTCACAAAGTTAACAACAAGCCAGGCGAGGACGAGGACTTTCTGCTAAAATGTAGACCATTGGCTATACTCGATTTCGTATCCGATATGAGCTCAAGAAGAAAAACAACTTTCAGCAGAACTCATTATCGGTAATCATTGTGAGTAAACTTTAGCGGGATGAACGAGGTGTGTGTCCGGGTGGCGCTCCGGGTCCGGCCCCTGCTCCCAAGAGAAGTCCTCCACCACCACCAGGTGTGTGTGCGGGTGGTGCCGGACTCCGCTCAGGTGATGCTGGGCTCGGACAGACTCTTCTCCTTCGACTACGCGTTTGGACCCACAGCCAGCCAGGACGAGGTGCACGAGTCCTGCGTCCAGCCGCTGGTGGAGTCCCTGCTGGACGGATACAACGCCACCGTGTTCTGCTACGGTCAAACCGGCTCAGGGAAGACGTACACAATAGGAGGGGGAAACCTGAGTAAGTTGGGCAGGTGGTAGATGTAGTCCCCAAAGTTAGGTTAAAACAGATCCAGACCAGAGGATGGTTTAGCAGAACAGATATGCTGATTATTTTTAGACAATAACGGATGTGAGCAGCAGTGAGCAGCATTTTTTTTGTAATCTTTAAACTTAGAAAAACCATTGTTTTTGAGTTCTGGAGTTTGTTCATTGTGAGGATAAATTGAGAATGTCAGGACTGTATGTTCAAGCTGGGCTTTGAAGTCTTTGAACATGTCACTCAATCATTTCAGTCAGTTGAGTTTTAGAGAATGATTTTGTTTGCAGACCAAGACTTCAGATATTGTGGTAAAGGAATTAAAGACATCTCAAGACCGAAGCAAGATTACCTTGCCCCTAATTTACTGCCAAAAAAAGGTATTTACTTATGTGTCTCTGGTCTTCTTAACTATTTATTTATTTTCTTATAAAACCTCTCTCAGGTGAAGAGGGAGGAATTATTGACCGTGTGGCCCAGGATGTGTTCTTGTTGCTGGAGGAGAAGAGGAAGAACAGTGATGGTGGGGAAGCCAAAGTGGGGGTGTCATACATGGAGCTGTACAAGGAAGAACTACGAGACCTGCTGGAGCTGCACACCATCCACAAAGAACTTCATATCAGAGAGGATGAGAGAGGAAACACAGGTAAATAAAAAGTATTTTTTGACAGCCAAGAAAATGTGCCAAAAATGTATATATTTTTAAATCTCACATTGAGTATTTCCTAAATAAAAACATGAAACCTGTACTTTCAGGCATCACATGCCAAGTTTGCTATTGGTTTGGACTTCAGTCATTCAGTTTGTAGGATTACTGCCAACTGGGGAAAGTCATATTTCAGCTGAGTGTTTCCTTAACAAATGCCCTTGTTTGTGTCTCTAGTGGTGGTGGGAGCCAAAGAGATAGTGGTCACCTCAGCAGAGGAGCTCCTAAGTGTTATAGAGACGGGCAATGCCCTGCGCCACACGGGCACCACAGGAATGAACGAGCACTCCAGCCGCTCCCACACCATCCTCACCCTCCAGCTCATCCATTGTTGCCACAGCAACAACTCCTCCTTAAAGTCTGTCCGCTCCTCCAAACTCTGTCTGGTTGACCTAGCGGGCTCGGAGCGTGCTGGAAAAACTGGAAACACCGGGACACGACTCAAAGAGAGTGTTCATATCAACACAGGCCTGCTCGCCCTCGGCAACGTCATCCGCGCCCTCTCGGACCCTGGGAGAAATCGCAGTGTCCACATACCATACCGTGACGCCAAGATCACACGCCTCCTCCGGGACTCGTTGGGAGGCACCGCCCACACGCTGGTGGTGGCGTGTGTGAGCCCCTCTCACCACAGTGTAGCCGAGACCCTGAGTGTCCTGCAGTTTGCATCCAAGGCTCGTCACATTCGTAATCGTCCCGGAACCACTCCAACAGAGGTTAAATCAGGAACTACCCCATGGGACCCAGGTGAGGCTCGGCTGGGCGAGCTGGAGTATGAAGTTCAAACACTGAGAGAGCTACTGAAAGAGAAGGAGAGGGAGATGGAGAGGACATCTGGGAAAACTGGAGAGGGGGACAGCTTCAATCAGATGAACATACCTGATCCAGATAGCGGGAACCAAGAGGAAACACCACAGTACCGCCTTCTGGCTCAGGAAGCTGCTGCCTTGTTGGCAGATATCTCTGGCCCCACCCCTAGTCATTCTTTTACACAGCGGCTGCAGGATTGGCAGAAGAGACTGACAGCTGTCAATCACTCACATCAAGCTGAGGAGAAGGACATGCCAGAGGGGAATGGAGATCAACACCACAATGTCACCATACTAAAGCTCAGAGAAGAACTCCACAAATACAAAGTAATTTGATCAAAGAAAAGGAATGAGAAATACAACTTTGCACACATTGAGGCAAAAACTGTGCAATGTTACGTGTTAACACTCAGAATACATTTGTTTGTTTTCATGCATAGGAATGTTTCAATCTACAAAGTCTTCCTCAGGCTACCTGCAATCTATCAGGCTATCTTTACCGCTTCAGGAAGATCTCATAGTTGAAAATGTTGCCATGCGACAAATAGAAAAATATATTATTTATTCAAAGCCAACAAGTGGAACATTTTAACTTTAGATTGTCATTTAAGAAATGGAAAATTACATTGATTTAATGCACTTGGAGAGCACAGAGGTGACCAATATATACGTTTAATAATAAATGTATCTTTCCCTTGATTTGGGCCAAAAGGTTTTCATTTGTTAAGCCCACGGTTCCTCCTTCAAAAAATGTCATGTTAATCTGGCCAGTAGTTTTTACTGTAACCCTGCTGACAAACAAACAAATGAAACCAAAAAAACATGACCTCCATGGCACAGAAAGTTTGAGTTAGCTGTGAAAATAAACGCTTACGGAGACAGTTAGTGTAAGATATAATGCTCCAGGAACAATTTACAGATGGAAGCAGAGAGAGCAGAATAAGCAAGGTGGGAGGTGTCTGATATGATGCTTTGTGTGTGGCAAAAGCTCTGAGGCAAAGATTGCTTGCTTGCTGCTGGTGTTTCTTAACTTGAAAAGTCGAAGTATAGAGTGAGCAGAGACAAATTCTCTCTCTGTCTCTCAGGAGTCTCTCACCTTAGAGGAACAGCTATTGGAGCAGAAAGATGCAGAACTAAGACAGGTCCAAAAAGAAGTACATAAGCTTCTTCAAGAAAGAAAAACCCACCTTCAGGCCCTAGAGGAAGAAAAGGAACGCACACGAATACAGGTGAGGAGAGTGTGGCTCCTTTATACGGGACAAAAAGACGCCGACACCCTTAGCATTGTATATTATCTGCAAATTAAACGTATGTGTTAATGTTTTCAGACTGAACAACTGGTAGACCAGCAGATCACCATCAGTCGTCTTCGCAGTGACCTTGTGACCTTTAGGGGTGCAGCCTCCGAGGGAACTCTTGAAACAGGGGCTTCTGGGAACTCAGACAAGAGACCCCACAGTGTCCCTCTGATCAGACAAAGCTATAGACACGGACCTTCCAGGAGGGTATGAAGCTGCACGTTTTCCTCTGTATGTGTGGACTTCTGTGTCATACTTGTTGACCTTTAATGGCTGTACATTAGGGCTGCACGATATATCGTGTCGTGACGATAATCGCAATATGCGCATGTGCGATATTCACATCGCGTGGACGTGCGATTTAAATAAAAAAAGGACTACATATTAAGTAGGAAAATTATCTCAAACACGTCATGTTACAATTATTTTTGCTGCTTGCTACAAAAGGAAAACTTGCGCGGCTCTCATGTCAGGGCAAGCATATACATTGAGTACAACGGTCTTTTCTTCAATTCCTGTATGTTTTCATATCGCAATATATATCGCAGGGGGAAAAAAAATCGCAATGTCAGTTTTTTCCAATATCGTGCAGCCCTACTGTACATATATCTGTGCAAATGCTTGTTGGGTTTTAGATTCAATCCAGTCCCCCGGCATATTCTCTGGAGAGGGTGATGGCAGCCTTTAAGATGCGCAGTCATCTCCTGCTGGCTGAGATCGAGGAGAAGGATGAAGTATACTGTCCATTCATGAAACAACAGGCAGAGAGCAGAGACAGCGATCCAGAGATGGAGGACGAGGAGGAAGATGTCTCTGTGGGCAGAGTGGGATTCAGGTGAGAGCCTGTATAATACTAGCCTTCTGTTTCTTTCTTTGTCATGCCTCAAGTGATTCACTTCAACACATACCATTACATCCAATAGATAACATGAATTGCTTTGTAGAGCAGTGACCTCCATAAGAGAGGCATGGTTCAGGGCTTTCTTTTGTGACACACTACACTTTTGGTGTTGAGGATGACTGCAATGTGTGCTGTCAGTTAGCAGCCTGTTCATATAAGGTCAACAAAGCACTTGTCATGTTGTTAGTTGGTGCACATGAGTCTCTCACAAATCACACAAATCCTGCATGTTTTCATTTTCAATTCCATACTTTTACATGATTTGATTGTGCTCATTTTCAAAAATAATAAGTGAGATTCCAGCCTCTGGCTTTAGTTCTGAATTGAAGAACAATATATTACACATAGTATATACAATGTAGTTAAATCATTTAAATGTGTTTAGCCAGCACCAAGCTTTTGTGCCACATGTCACTTGGTCACCCCTGCTGACAGCTTCCCAATTGATGCAATGTACTATTGGGCATAAAGGAGATGTGAAATCTCTGGGGGTGCATGACTGCGGGGAGCGCACTGCTTTTAAATAGGATGAAAGGTGACATGTTTGGCCATTAATGATCCCAGGCGTTCAGCTAAATTGTTTATGTATAACAGTTGTTCTCCTCTTATACAAGCCACAGAAATACAAACAATTATTGACTTAAATGTCACACATGCTCTCATTCAGAAAATGAGCTTTCTTTTGCAGTGAGTTAATCTAAAATGATCTGCCTATTAAATGACGTTTCTCCAGGCGTTCTTTAAACAGAACATGGACCAACCGGCAGATGAAATCTGCAGTGAAAGAGAAAAACTCCGATCCAGACCAAACATCAAATGGAAATCCATCAGTGCAGCAGCCTCAGCGAACCACAGGTAAAATGTACTTTATATATGTTTTTGCAGTATTACGTTTTCATGTCCTTTGTACTGATAGGGGCATGCTTCCCTCCAATCCTTCATGTGACATTCCAAGAAGTAGATATTTATTTAAGAGGTTGTTTCCTCTTCATATAGTTATTTGTTATTGTTTTATCAGGAACCAAGGAAGAGCACACCACTGAAAGCCATATGAAGAAGGGAAGACTAAGAGCCAGCGTGACTCAGAGGAGGATCCATGATCTGTCTGTCAACATGCGTATGAAAGAGGAGCTCCTCAAAGAGCTTCACAAAACTGGTGTGTTTATAAATATACATTATAACACGGTGGTGACACTAATTGTCAACAACGGTAGCAAAGAGAAATTATATGAAATGAATTGGCAAAACAAACAGATGACCAGAAGAATGCTCAGCTGCTATGCCAAATCTGAAAAGAAAATGGGATTTCTAAAATATGCCTGACACCAAAATAGTAGTTTTGATCAATTTAAAACAGGAGTTTTAAAATTAGAAAAACGTTTAGCAATGTGAAGGAACAAAATACAGGTTTGATGTTTAGATAAAAATATTGTTCTTTTTAGTATTTGCAGCCTTATTCTTATTGACCTTGCATTAAAAGGGATTTCTTACTTAAAGGTGGGGTAGGTCATTTTGGAGAAACCAGCTCGAGTGCGCTAGAATTTGAAAATGCAAAACCGGAAAAGATCTGCCACTTCCTTACAGAGCCCCTCCTCCAACACACACGAACGCGCACATGACCATTGAGGGCACGAGATAAGTTTGTGCACAGATGGAAGGCTGACAGGCAGGTAGGCCATCCAGTTACTTTAGCCGGGCCAGCTAAAATGATTGGTCGTGCTTTTTACAGCGTCACGGCTTCCACAGATGATATTTATATATGTATTTATTGTCAAAGCATTTCATGTATTCATTGCTATCGGGATGTTAAGAACATTCCATGGAATATAACAAAAAGTGTTTCTGAAATAAATGACATACCCCACCTTTAAGTTCCAGGTAACAAAACAACATAGTGAATCATCCCATTACAACATAACAGTTTCAAAACCTTTGACAATGTGTTGGTAATTATAACCATCTCTGAATGTGTTTGTCAGACATGGAGACCCAGGCAGTGGGCGGACATGGCGGGCACAGTGGTGATGGAAGAGACGCCGGCGTGTTGATGAGACTCTCCCTGCAGAGCCAGAGGGTCCGAGCAGAGGTCTACCGCAGCCTGCAGCACATGAGAGTGCAGAGAGAGCAGCTTCAGAGCAGCCTTAGGCCGCAGAGAGAGGCCGACACCAAGGAACCGGAGGGAAAGGAGGTTAGTTTTACTGATTCTATAACAGTAACATCAAACACCTTGTGAGGAGAGTGCAATAGGAAAAGAGATGAACATATTAGACTACACTTCAGTGTTGTGTAAACAATTGTCTATAAATGGGTTAACACAGCAAGATCATTTGAATTATATTCTAACCGCTCTGATATCTGTCAGCCAGTTAAGCTAGTAAGCTCTTAGGCGAAGCAATAGTATTGACATTGTTAAAAAAATAACTTTTGTTGATGGCTCTAGGTGCTACTTTACTCAGTAAACTGTTAAGACTCCCCTTTCAGTTTACATTGATGTTTAGCTTTTGATTTACCAGGGTATACACACACTTACACACAACACACACATCTCAGTTGAGTTAGTTGAGTGTCATTGGGAGTGCAAAAAGGTGACAGCTAACACTATAATAATAATAATAATAATACATTTGATTTACGTATATAGCACTTTTCAAGACACATGAAGACGCTTTACAAAAGTCACATTTAACAATCATTGACGAGACCTTTGGGAAAAACTTGATTTATTTTTGTGTTTTCTTTTCTGTTAGGAGCAGAGGGCAGGAGATATGACTGTAATCAAAAGCAATCACCAGGAAGAGGTAAAGGAAAACATAGAAACAGTATACATTCTTAAAAAGTTTGTTTTGGTTTTCTCCATTAAAAATTGGAGTTTAAACAGATTTTCTTTCAAATACAATCTTTCTTGTTTTCTATTTCCCACTCTTTGTCATTGTTGTTGCCTTCCTATTTTCTCAATGTGTATATCATCTCCTCTATCCCTTTTCCCCTAATCTCTCCTCACCCCTCTGTAGCTGCTTGACAGTGGTTGGCTAGAGGAGGAGGAGGAGCGTGTGCTTCATAAGAGAGCGGAGCTGCAGGAGCTGGAGGAGGAGCTGAGGAGGAGAGAGGAGGTGCTTCTACGCAGAGAGGCCTGTCTGCAACAGAAAAACAAACTAGAGATCAAGAGGCTGCGCTCCAGTCAGGTGAGCTTGCATAGGCGTTGGTACCGCTGTGTGATTTCTGATTTATTATGATTTAACCGTCTATGGCTGATGCACTTATGGATTTGGGCAACATGTGTTATGGAAGCCCAGCCCTGGAAGTTTATATATCAATGACTCAGCAGGCTCTGAGTCAGAACCTGCTGAGTGTGTCGGTGCGGTTGGAGTCTCTGGAGGAGCAGCTGGGGAGCAGCAGCAGTGTGAGGCAGACTGGAGGAGTCACCATGGAGGAGCTGAAGAGAGAGAGGGACACACTCAAAGAGAGGAGAGACGCTCTGGACCGCGAGCTGAAGGACAACAGAGTGCTCACTGTGGAGGTCAGGAAACAGTAACATTGTATTTGTGTGTACTGTACGTATCAGGGTTATTAGTGTAAACTAAACCTGGTTACAAATGTATTCTTACTAAAGTGATCGTAGTATTTTAGAATAAAACAACATGGCCAGTGTTTAAATAGTGTAATAAATGAATTGCCATTCAACTAGGCTATTCAGCTCTGTTATAAAATATATTAACTAGTGTTGCGATACAGTTTTCTTCAGAATGTGGTAGTGAAAGAGGACTCAAGTTTATTCAAAATTCATTTTTGTCCACAAACTGAATCTTAATTAAACAAAACAAAAGTATTAACTTGGTATATATAACACGGGATATTATTTCTGGAAGCATTTTATTTTCATTATTGTGCAACTTTTATATTGTGTGCACTGTGATTTGTGTTTGTCTCCATGTAGGAGGAGCATTCCCTGCTTCAGCTGGAGGAAGCGATTGAAGCTCTGGATGCAGCTCTAGAGTTTAAAAACCACTCCATCCAGGACCAACAGAAGAAGTTGCTGATTAAAGACTCTTCTTCACATCAGCCTCACAGCCCTGACCCCGCCCAACTCTGTGATGTCATCAGGAAGCTGAAGGACCTCTCACCACCCGAGGCCTCGGAGCTGCTCATCAGATATTTCAACAAGGTGAAATTAAATATATGCACATACATTATGGAAACTACGATGGCCTCTATTCCAGCTTCTTTACAAGTGAAAGTTCTCTATTTGTCTTAACTTGGTCTTCCTTTCCTTATGTATTGTTTAATATTTATAAGCACATTCCAATGTTGGTTTCCTTTAAGCTTGTTTATTCATTTGGAAAAAATGGATTCTGCCATGGTCAATGGAAACTGACTCCATCTCTTTCTGTTTTATGTTTCTGCTTCTTTCTTCCTCTGCTATTTACCTTTGCTTGCTTTTCTCTCCAGTTTACACGTTTTTGTAGGTCAAAAACTGAGCCCAACAATTCCTATAACGGTAGTTAAATTATAAATGGAATCCCCTCCTTCATCTTTGCAGCTACATCTTAATACAACTTGATATAACTTCTCTCCAGGAGGTTTGTTTGCACCATGACAAACCGCTTCCTAACTGTTTTTCTGTCCTCACAGTTAACCCTAACCCTCTTCAGGTGTGAGAGTAAACAAAGGTACAGCCATTGTCCCTGTAATTATATGTAAAAACATCTACTTTTCTGGTTCCCTCTCGCCTTTATAAACCTCCCCAGGTTGTTTGTCTTCGTGAGGCGGAGGGCCATTTGCGTTTGCAGTGTGAAGAGCTGGAGCTTCATGCCAGAGAGCGAGAGGTGGTGCTGAGGGAGATGGAGGTCGCCACGCAGCGTGTAGCCCTGGATGCAGACCGCAGGCTCACCCAGCAGCACCAAGACCACCAGAGCAACATCCAGCTACTGCTGCAGAAACTCAGAGGTGAGGAAATTAGATCACCAAGACCATACCGTTTGAATGTGAAACTATTCTGTTCTTCTCTTTATTATTAGCACTGAAATTGATTGATCCTTGCTATTTCATTAACTTTTGTGTCCCTATATTCTTGTGTGTGTATGTTTAGAGGGTGGTTCAGGAGAGGCACAGCAAGCTTTGGAAGAAAGACTGCAGCATCTAGAGAAAGAGCTGTTTTTCTACAAAAGCTCCAGCAGGCAGCTTAAAAAGAAACTCAAAGATCTTGTCAGTGATGCCCTACACCCTGTCGATCAGCATTCACACACACAGGAGAACAGAAACAAACACAATGTGCAGCTACATGCGAGTGCAAACAAACCCCAGACGCACACTGAAGAGTCACAGACAAGAACACATATTGCAACAACATACACAAAGATACAGGCTGAGCAAACAGACAAAAAGGCTCACATCGCTTCTCAAATGAGGAGACATGCAGATCAAACCCCCAGCAACTCCTCATCTTCTGACCTCCAAGCACGCAAAACAACAAAAATGTCAGATTACAACCATACTCACACACAGGGGGGGAGTGACAGGGGGGAGAGTTCACAGATGACACCTGTCCGTGTGTGTCGCAGAGAGCTGAGACAGATCTCTCCAGCTGATCTGCAGGTCTGTAGTTCCGCCACAAGGAGGCGACAGTCTGCTGTGGAAACCAGCACAGAATCAATGCTAGAGGACTCCATAGAAGTGCCCAGAAACACAGACAGATGATTTATCACGGTATCGACGAGTCAATCTAGAGCAGTGTGTACATCTGATACCAGTTGGGTGCTATTGAAACTAAGAAAATTCATCCCCTCATCTTGAGTATCTTGTGGAAATATTCATGCATTGTTCTTTTGTATAAAGACTAATTGTAGGTCTTTGTTGGGCTTTGGATCAGTAATAGCACCCTTTAAATTACTTTATACAACCAGGATACTGGTGTATATGCAATGCATATCCATGGTCACATTTTACTCAATATGAAAAGCATGTGGGTAAAGTTGAACAAGTTTTATTATTAGCTTTTTTTCATAAACACACCCATAATGTTGTATCACAAAATAGTGAAACCACAGAAAATCAGATCTGCAGTTTGTGACCAAAGGAAAAGAAAGCGACTGAAATGTGGTTAATATTAAAATGTTTTCCGTTTTAACCAGTTCAGTCTCTCCTCGTAGCACTTTCCTCCTTTTTCATTGGTCCTCTCTGGTGGTCACATATTTACCAGATCCTGGCTCTGCTGAATGATTTCGCCTTTCAACAAAAGAAGACCAGTGTTGTCATTACAACAGAGTGACCCTGATGCATGCATAGAAAGACCTTTCCAATAACTTGGCTGTGATTTTTTACTTGGAGATAGAGTGAAAGTTTTTCATTTGGCAATTACAGATTCTTGTCTTAGCTCATGCCACACCCAAATACAACACTGTAGATTCAATACAGATTTGTTTTTTAATCTTATGTACATTGTGTAAGAATGGAATATTTAACGCAAAAAATAGCACTTTTCTGATTAGTTAAAAATATTTCACCAACAACAATCCACTAAAACAATTATCCTCTTTTTACAAATACCATTAATTTAAAGGATTTAAAGTGTTTATTAACCTGTAGTTCATTGTAATCAAATTGTGCCTTGTGAAGAGAATTGCTTTGTCTTTCCCCTTATTTTAAGCACTGTTCAGCACTTAAAATGACCATAAGTTGTGTTTTTCTGAATTATAAAATTAATATAAGGCTTTGTAGTTTTATTTATGCAATTTTAAATACAAATGTTGAATGTCTATGTGCTATATGTTCTTTTAGTAGCATTATATGTTGAGTGCTGTGTAAATTATTTTGTATATGAATGGCTCATTACAGTGAAATGTATTAAACTTTTTGATATGCATATCTTACTGTCTTGCCTTTAATGTGAGGGCTCATTCAATCTCATCCTCAACCCTTACCCCTATAAATCCTATTAGTGGGTTGTGTTGATCACTTTAATGTTGTATAAATTGAGCTAATTAAATTAATTAAAATTCTTAATATACTGCTGAGTAATTTAACCTATAATAATATAAGAACATCTATAAGGTAACAATTATTCTGAAACCATATTTGACAAATAAATGTAATGGTGCAGCACTACAATGTTGCATACAATGGACATACAAAAAGGGTATGTAAATGTAAAAGGATGTAAATGGAAGCATGTCAAAGGGTAGTCAATGTGAATCTGTCAGAAAATGTTATGCATATACTGTCGAATATACACATTAATAGAACCGGTCTGATATGCATTAAACCTCAGCAACAGCTTTCCTTTGTATTAATGGCACTTTAAAGCGAAAGGGCGAGCTACAATCGTTGTTATCCTTTTTGACCCCACAGGGCTGCTGTAGTCAGGCAGTCGCTTGTAGCAAACCACAGTAACAGATAGCCCCTACACGAACAGGTGAAAGTAGTCTTTAGCAACTTTTACTTGACCTTACTATCTCTTCAAAACGATTCACAGCGTGTATTAAAAACAAAGGACCAACGTAAGTTCATTAATGTGTTTTTGACTGTCATGCGTCGCTACTTTTGCACTTGTTTAGAAAATAACGAACCCGGCTAAGCGATGTGCTATCAGCTAGGTTAACTTGCTGCTATGTAATGCTAGCAGCTACATTGCTACATACGATGCAGCTCATATCAGATGTAAATCATCATCACGACCTCCTGGTATGATTAAACTCACTCATTGTAAAATGTGTGGATTCCAATAAATGATTAGGAAGATATTGTATTGTATCTATTTGAAAATATGCTGCAACTAGAAGCTAGGTTCTTGTTTTATGACTGAATTCAAGTTGTTCTAACTGTATTGTTCGTCGTCTCCTTTTTTCTTCGGTTAGTTTAGTTTTACGACATGGCAATGATCACCGTCCCCACCACCGCCTCCCGGTTCGCCCTGCTCCAGATAGACTCGGATTCGGACTCCGACGCCTCCGACGGGGGGAAGACCACCAACAAATCCGGACGGGACTCCTCCGGAAAGCCCCGACAAGGAAAGGCTGGAGCCGGGGGGAAAGGGGCTCAGTGCAACGACAAGAAGAAAGACAAGAAAAAGAAGAAGAAGGAACAGCAGCAGTCTGAGGCAAATGAGGTGAGTGAGGGCAGCATCACATTCCCCTCCTTATCAGGACTTTGTGACAGACATGACTCGAGTGTGTTCCGCCTTTGTTTCACTTCAGCTGAATTGAAACTGTTGAGAGAGGTGCAGGTTACATCCGACAACAGACCATGTTGTCTCTGTTTTGTTTAAAGCAAGTTTTGACATTGATTTAATGTAAGTGTTTAACCAGCATGCTATTACTTGATAAGACACATAACCAAGCCTTTAACAACATAGCTGAAGTAACACCTGATATTCCATAATATTGTATCTGTGATAATAAAAAGAGAAACTAAATCAACTCGAGGTTCAAGTGTACAGTTAGCCTGATGGACAGAGATGTCTGAATGGATCTTGGTTGATGATCAGACCAACCATCAATCTTTATTGTTTAGTGTTATTACTTTTAAGTATGACTATTGATATCCAAAAGGGATCTTCCCTCCCCTGCACCATTTTTTGTGTGCAAATAAATAAAAACAATAGAGCAAGGCAATATTAGTATCGATGGTGGACATAAGAAGAGTCACTGTTTGAATTCATCTCATATCTACTTTTCTATCAGCTACGTAATCTGGCCTTCAAGAAGCTTCCTCAGAAGTCTTCTGCCCCTCCTCCCTCGATGACTCTGTCAGGGATAGCCGGTGAGCTCCTCAGTCCTGCATCAGGGGACAAAGTGGCCCCTCCAGAGGGGTGGCAGCAGTGGAAGCAGAAGGATGAACAGGTAAACAAGCACAACCACAATAAATATGTAATCTGTAATATCCAAAATAAAGTTTTCTCAACAATTTACACGTGCTTCACTAAGACCCCGTTTACACGAGGACGATACGGGTACTATCCGCATAGTTTCTCTTGCGTATAGCCCTTTCGTTTACACGAGGCCGTAACAAAACGATGGAAACGGACCCCGCAAACGATAACGTGTCCCAAGTTGGATAGAATTGGCAAACGGAACGGCCTCTGGCGGGGCAAACGGACCGGTCTGGGTGGTCAAACGGCTCCGTCTGTACGCCTCTATATGATCATTTTCTGATAACGATGAAATAGCCCCACCTCCCTCTCCCCACGTCTCCTGCTCAGAGATCAGCTGCTGGGCTGTCAGATGAGGGGGAGGAAAAGAGAGGCTCCGTTTATTATTCTTATATTATTATATAGAGTCGTTATCAATTTGTTTTAAAGCTCAATAAATAACAAAGAAGACCTCTGACCGGCACTTTTCTAATTTTGTCCGGAAGATTTCAACTTTAGCGGAAAAAAATGTTAACTGAAACTCTGCCGCACGATCCCCTCGTCCCTTGGAAGAGGCGGAGAGGTGGGTGTTTTTCATCTGCTGGTGGACTACCGGAGAGATATACAGCAGGAGCACACGCCGTCCACCGCGGAGAATAAACAGAAGGGCAACCATGCTCCGGGGTCTTCTTCGCTGCTTTTGGTGTATTTTGTGGCGGCAGCAGCGCCAATTATAGGCCCGGCATATGTACTACAGCGTTTCCAGCGGTGTTGTGTGAACGGACACGTTAATTGAGCCGAATGCGTGTGAACAGAAGACCTTTTTGAAAGCGCATACGGTGCGTAAACGCAAACGTTCCCGTGTAAATGGGGTCTAAGCCACTTAACTTCCAACAGTATAGAGTTGTTTTTTATCGCTGTGTGCAATAATATGAGCTTGAAGCCGACCGCATTAATTCTTTCCTTGCCCTCTTTCTGAAAACTTGTTGTGGGAAGTTATGGCTGCATTAGAAAAGAGCACAAGCATGACGTTTTGAAAATGTTATTTTCCTGGTATAACTGCATTTTAAACTGTTCATGTCAGACCTTACACCTTAAATGTCTCGTATTTTTCTTCTTCCGCTGTAGATAACCAGTGAGCTCTATGAGGCTGACTTGGAAAAAGCCTTGATTTTGCCTGTTCAGCCTCTGAGCCACAGTTGACCCCCCCTTTGTCACTAATGGTAATTTTCCACTGCAGGACCTTGCACGGCTTAGTACGGTATGGTTAGGCTTTGGTAGGCCAGGCTCACTTAATGCTGCGTTTCCATTACAGTTTACCAACTGGGGTAGTAACTATAGTAACGCAGTGTAGGCGGGGCGATTGGCTGTTCGGCGGGCGGAGCTACGCTGCGTAAAACTGCCGTGACGTTATCTTCAGGAAATACATCCCGGAAGATCCGCGGAGGATCCCATCAGTTTTATCCTCGGTTAGAAGCTCCTCCCAGAGAGCCCTCCTCGATGTCGATCCCCTTCGGTCCTTGGTCCTCGAGTGCACATTTAGAGAAAATGAGATGTCCTTCAACATGGCGCGCTGGAATCTTATTTCCCGGTCACTACCGGAGGACTGAGGGGGTCGAGGAGGCGAAATTAAGATAAATGGGAAAGGCTCGTGATTTTTGGTTTTCTGATTCAACAATATCAGTATTTCTAGTGATGACAGCGCGGAGATTCTTACTGCTGATTGGCTTGAATATCTCGCTCGCAATTTCAACTCTAGCAAATTTCGCAGTCTTTGAATGGCTTGAGGTCAGCAAAAAAAAAAGTGTGGTGCTGTGTGCTGGTGGTGTGTGTGTGCTGTGTTGTGTGTGTGTGGTGTGTGTGTTCTGTTGTGGTGTGTGTGTGGTGTGTGTGGTGTGTGTGTGTGGTGTGTGTGTGTGTGTGTGGTGTGTGTGTGGTGTGTGTGTGTGTGTGTGGTGTGTGTGTGTGTGTGTGCGGTGTGTGTTGTGTGTGTGTGTGTGTGTGTGTGTCTGTGGTGGTGTGTGTGTGTGTGCTGTGTAGGTCCAGAGAGGTCGCCCCCAGCGCGCCCCCGCAGGGGCGACCGATGTGCGCTCTGATACGTGTGGAGCCCTGGGACTCACCTGGTAAAGACACAGCGTTCCGCCTGAGTCTTGTCTGGATGGCAAAGCCACGTTGAAAACAGAACTGCTGCAAGTGTGTCTTTGCTTCAGGTACGAGCTGCCACGGGCAGGTTCCACCCTACCCCAAGTGAGACAGTGTGTTCGACTCAGCTGCACAGGGGCTGAAGAGCCCCAGCCTCAGCAGCTCAGAGGACAGGCGTTTCTCCCTAAGTTCATCCAAACTTTGTTAACCTCAGGTGAGGAAGTCAGTGTAAGTGGTCAGGCTCATCTGAATGTGTGTGAAATACAATACTTTGAAACATGCTGACAGTCAATAATGTGGGCCTAGTTTGTCCAGCACTTTAAACCACACGCTCTTTAGGAGGAACACCTAGTGTATGATGGACTGTGTCTCCTCTCTGGTGCAGCCTCACAAGGATGAATCCAAAAAGCCGAAGTACAAAGGAGTCTCTGGTGAGATCTTTACATTTCCATCCAGTCATTTCTATAAGTTCCATGAGCCACAATGTTAAGGAGCACTACATCTCTGATTGTATGTAACTACTAAAACACTTCAGGCCAGAGCATTTTAGGATATGAATTATTCTAAAATAACTTAATTCCTGAAGATGCGGAACAGGAGTTCTCTCTCATTATGCAATCGTTATAGTGACGGGTCAAAAACCCATATCATCTCCTTTCTTTTTCTTTTCATGGTCGCCCCCAAAATACATAAATATAACTCAATTTTAGGAAAAGTAAGAAGTTTGAGCAGTGTGGGTTTACTTAACACGTTACATATTTCAAACGCAAAGTGGGTAATAACTGTCCGGTGCCTCCTGTCAGAATGACAAAGGTCCTCACTGAAGGCTCAGCCCATGTTTTCTCACTAAATTGTAAGTACAACTTATTAAAAAGAATCAGTTCAATCACAATGTCCGTCTTAGTTACTTGCAATGATGTTAAAATTGGTTGCGCCAATGAATTTAAACTCTTAAATGTAGCATGGCTTAAGAGGTGGGGCGTAGGCAAAGTTTGACAAACCGGCTACGGAGATACACTCTTTTGTCTATATTCCACATAGAATCGCCTCTTAAACCATGTCCCGAAGCATGATATCTTTAAGTGCTTCTGAAAAAAATCCATAAAAAAACGTCATCTGGTGGAAGCGTCAGTAGTGTAAAAAGCACGACAAATCTTTAAGCCGGCCCGGCTAAAATAATGGTATGGCTACCGGTTCTCGTCAACCTCCCATTCTGTGCACAAACTTATCTCTTGCTCACTCATTGGTCACCCGTGCGCAGTCGTCGTGTAGTGAGGAGGGCTCTGTAAGGAAGTGGAAAGATTTGTTCCCGCGCTCGCACTCTTTCCAATTCTAGCGCACCTCGAAGCTGGTTTCTCCCAAAATACTGCCCAGCCCTCTGTGTTTCTCAGTTACACGGTTGCTTCGTTTTAAACATCAGACCCACCCGCGACTGCGTGCACCAGGCTGCTACCTGTCACTCCTTTATATAGGCCATCCTTCCTGACTAACCTTGTTCTTTCCGCGCTGATCCCCGCCGGGCGTCACATGGCTGAACCTTTTTCTCCCCAGACAGACCGTGATACCACTCACCTCACCATATACTAACAACAATGCTCTTGCAGAACCAACGGTCTCATAACCATACATTTATCTATTTTTCAAGTAGTTGTCAGTACCTAGAATACACACACTATTGGCTTACCACCCCCTGCAACGCAAGCTCCACTCCCAGACACATCACCTGTATCACCCTACTCATTCCCCGCCAAACGCGATACGTACACCGCTCTCCTCCTTATCTAAAACCTGCTGTGTTTCTTACTAAAAGTACTGTACGAACACCTTTCGCCATACCTAACTCTATCACACATCACATCAACATCATTCCTCTGCTACCCACGTTTAATGCACCAGAAGCCCGCCAGTTATCCAGCGACCCCCTGATTCCCCTGCCCTCAGCCTGACGCTCTCTCGTCTGCCTCCCAACGACAACATCCCCTCTCATCTCCCGATCCTACGCAGCAGCTTTGTCGCCGACGTCGCCACCGAATTACCGTATGTCAGCATCCTGGACTCAGCCTTGCCCCCTTCTCTCACCCTCCTCACGCATGCTCTGTCGACGACTGTGGACCGAGCGCGAACACCGGACCGCGCACTGCGACTCTCACACCGCCCTGACAGCTACAAAAACTCTTCACCTCGTCCTGCAGCGGGACACTCTTGCATCGCATCCTTCTCAACGCGGACCCAGAATAAAACGCCAGCCCCCGTCGTGCTCGAATGTCAAATCCGCCATCTCTCAGACATGGTACACTTCATCAAACTAATGATCACGCCCGCACTCTGCCACTCCCAATCTGCACCTCCCCCGTTTCACGTTAGAGTCGCCGACAATCCTTTACACCCGACTATCCTATACACTT